AAAAATTATATTTAAATTATTATTATTATTATTATTTGACAAACCTTTATGCTTCCTGACTGTTTGGTGTTATGTAATACTCAGACACTATTATTTGAGAAGTACAGAAGTCATCATTTTCAGACACTAAAAAAAAAACCCTTTAAAAAAAAAAAAAGTGGATAAGATTAACCGAAATCCGGAAAAGACCCGTTTTCAGTTGCGCGGTAACCCGAAAGTTAAGGAGGCGAACATTTGGTATCCTAACGGCAGAATCGTTCCTACAAGTTTTGGCTTACGCATTTCGCCATCGATTCAACGTGTTTCTCCAGATTCTTATCAAATCTCAAAATTCCTCCTCATCTCTTCCCAAATCCACTCAATGCGCCTTCAATTTTCAGCAAAATTCAGGTTTCAATTTATGTAATTGCAATTTTTTTTTTCTTGTTTTCTGTTTGTTTCTCGTTATTTTTCCATCTAGATTCCGTTGTACATTTCATATTTTCAATTAGAAGAAATTCTGTGTGTAATTCAGATTCTTTTTCCGTTTGTTTCCCGTGATTTTGCTTGCAGATTCTGTACAGATTTTCAATTCCAATTAGTAGGCATTCATTCCTTTGTCTCATGAAATAAAAAAGAACTAGCAAGATTTTGAAATTTTTAGGAAATAGGAAAAATTCATGTAGAGCAAGATTTTCTTTTCTAGGATTGGGTTGTGAAGAATTTACTTTTAATTTGGTTCTTAAATTGTGAATAATTGTCTGGATTGAAGTGGGTAAATTTTTAGAAATTTAGATTGGGGACATAAGGAGGATTAGAAGACGGTGAAGGATGGCAGATGCGGATGATTCTGGCTCTGCCTCTCCACCAGATGATAATGGCGGTTCTTCAGCTTCATCACCGAAGTCCTCCCCATCTTCTCCACCTCCTAGTCCCCCACCATCAAACCAAACGAAATCACCACCTCCACCATCGCCGCCACCTCCTAAAGCAACTCCATCTCCTCCCCCTCCTGCCCCATCTCAGCAAACACCACCTTCCCCACCAAAAGAGTCTCCCCCTTCTCAAGTTAGTGCTCCTCCACCACCTCCTAAGCACCCTGCAGGCAATAGTACTACCCCATCTTCGCCGCCTCCTCCATCGCCAGTTAGACATGGTTTTGTTCCTCCTCCACCTCCACCTCCATCTAAATCAAACAATCAATCATCATCCCACGTACCTAGCTCCCCACATTTACCGTCCAGCTCAAAGAATGGATCTTCTGGATCAGATGACTCCAATCAAACATCAAAGACTGGGATTATCGCTGGTGCATCAGTGGCAGCAGTGTTAATTGTTGCATTTCTGGTTATATTTTGTCTGGCAAGGAGGAGAAAGAAGTCACTAAAGAACAAGCATTCTAACCATTATATGCTACCACCACCTAACTTTATGGTGAAGTCAGGTAAAACTTTTTGCTGTTCTAGGCAATTATCGCTTGGTACTTACCATCCCATAATTAATATTCTCTCTTTTAATTTCTTCTCCTGTAGATGGATATTACTATGGAGAGCACCTTCCGATGCGACCAAATTCTGGTTCACATGATAACTTTTATGCTGCAAAACAACTGTATTCACGCTCATCAAACAGCTTGGGGAGTCAAAAAGGGCATGGTTACTATGGAGGGGCACCAGATTCGGGCATTATCAGTGGTAGTAAATCCTTTTTCAGCTATGAAGAGTTGATGGGAATAACCAATGGGTTTTCTCATCAAAACGTCCTCGGTGAGGGTGGGTTTGGATGTGTTTACAAGGGGTGGCTGCCAGATGGGAGAGTAGTGGCTGTCAAGCAGCTGAAGGCAGGTAGTGGGCAAGGAGAGAGGGAATTCAGGGCTGAGGTGGAAATTATTAGTCGTGTCCATCACAGACATTTGGTCTCTTTGGTGGGCTATTGTATCTCGGAGCATCATAGACTGCTAATCTATGAATTTGTTCCAAATAAAACTCTAGAGCATCATTTGCATGGTAAGGCAACCTCCCACACCTCCTTCTCACCAATAGAAAAAGTGAAAGGATTTCTTATCTAACTTTAGGTTCTTATATATAGATTTTGTGGTGCTTCAGATAAAGAATCGCCAGTCCTGGAATGGACCAAAAGAATGAAGATTGCCGTAGGGTCTGCGAAGGGTTTGGCATATTTACATGAAGATTGTATGTATCCTTTCACTCATTATCATTAAATAATAGTTCCATTGGCTTCTAAGAACACAAAAGCCCTACATCACCTTCCCTTCTTCCCCCATTCAATCCTTTCAAATTTTCCATGACAGACCAACACACACAAACATACTCACATGTCATGCAAACATATAATGTATGCATGCATGCATGTTTGTATGTATTTCTGTATGTATTTATGCTTTTGGGACATTCATATTTTTCTGAACTCATGAACTCCTCTTAAATCCAGCTAGACTTGAAAGAATATCAAGTTCCAATCTTATTTGTTATCTTCTTTATTTCATGATGCACATAGATGAATTGAAACATAGTGCATATCTTCTGTAACCCTGGTATGCTATCAAGACAAAACATGTATTTTAATCAACACTGATAGCTAAACCCTACGAAAAACTCCTATATTATGGATGCTCGTCCATTTTTAACCATCTTGTGGTGATACACTGATGATGACTGATCACTGTTCTCCAAGTGAGGATAATGGTTTGATAAGAAATACTAAATTTCATTTTTCTTTTTTTGGCCAACAACATTGATGAATTTCCATTTTCTCAGCATTAACAAAATACCATACTAGCTTTTCACCTTTTGAGGTAGTATCTTCTCATGGCATTGCTTGTTTCTTTCTCCCCAGGATACTTTTTTGTGAAGTCATTCTTTAAAATTTCTAGTTAATCTGTATGATCTGATTGGTTTCATGCTTGTTATTTGGTTGTTTTGTAGGTCATCCAAAAATCATACACAGGGACATTAAGTCAGCGAACATTCTGTTAGATAATGCTTTTGAAGCTCAGGCAAGTGCATCTCCTTGTCCCTCTGGAGCTGTGATTTCTTGGTTTGTTAATGGCTACATTAATACGAGTATTCTTTCAAGTACAGGTAGCAGATTTTGGACTTGCTAGACTTAATGATACTACTCAGACGCACGTTTCAACCAGAGTCATGGGAACATTTGGGTATGTTTAACCACTTTGAACAGCCGAAATCAGCTGAAATCTGTCTCCCTTAATTCTTTTTCACTTTCTGTGTTTCGTTTCAAGGGTTCTCAAAATTAAAGTAAATCAGATCATGAACTTCTGTTGGTGAACTCGTCATCTACCTCTGTATAGGAAAGAGAAGCTGTCCTCTTTTGGTAGACAGTTTGTATCTTTAAAAGGCTACCAGCGTGTACTATGAAGCTGTCCCCCTGATTCTACCTGGATAATCCATTTTCTTACATGCATGAGAACTCAGTGTTGAAAATGGATCCCTGACATACACCTTAACTGACATTTTAGTTGGCTTCCAGGTACCTGGCACCAGAATATGCATCAAGTGGAAAACTGACAGATAGATCTGATGTTTACTCATTCGGGGTTGTGCTTCTAGAGCTCATAACCGGGCGAAAACCTGTTGATCCAAGTCAGCCTTTGGGGGATGAGAGTTTAGTTGAATGGGTATGAATGAGATAGTTAACTTTGCTGGAAGTGTTCCTTATACTAACTCATTATAAGTTTCTCTCTGACAGAGTTCTTTCTTTTCTCTTGAAACTCTTGTTGCTAACACAAATTTTCTTTGTTGCTTGTAACTAGTAACTTGACATCATTTCTAATTCCATGAACATTGCTTTAGAACCATTTTTTATGCCTTCATAAGGCATCTAAAATGGTTTCTTTCTCTTTTCTCCTTTTAGAGTAGCCCATTATGGTGTTGCCTTTTATATGTTTTCTTATGGATTTTTTCTTGGCTTCCTGTGAAAATCCCCGTAATGTTGGCAGGCTCGACCCCATCTCATTCATGCCCTTGAAACGGGCAATTTTGGAGAATTAGTTGATCCGCGACTTGAAAAGCATTATGTGGAGAGTGAAATGTTTAGAATGATTGAAGCGGCAGCTGCATGTGTTCGCCATTCTGCTGCAAAGCGGCCTCGGATGGTGCAGGTAATATCAGCAATTGTTTACCATTCTGCTCAGTATCATTTTCAGATTTCTCATTTAAACTGAAATGGTTAAAACACTAATGCTTTGTCCAAACTAATGTAAAATATAGGAAAAGTTCCAAACTTGTTTTCTTATTTCTGTTCTTCTCCCTTTCTGCTTACCCTCTTTTAGATAGTAAGAGCATTGGACAGTGAAGGAGAAATGTCTGATCTCTCTAATGGGGTGAGATTCGGCCAGAGCACTGTTTATAATTCCGGGCAGTACGATCAAGACATTATGAAATTCAGAAGGATGGCACTTGGAAATGACATTAGCTCAGACGTTGATATGAACAGCGGCTTATACAGCAGTACTTCCAGGGAACATTATAAGTCTCAGAGCAGTTCAAGAGAGTACTCAAGTGGTGCTGAGTCTGAAACTCGAGCCATGAATCCGCCCAGCAGTCAGTACAGACATAGTGGTGGCTACTCTCGTCGCCCGTGATATAGGTGAAACCCTTGGCAACTCACCTGCTTGGTCCAATTTAATTGTTGTGCATAGAAGTTTTACATCTAAACATTTATACTCTCCATGTTCTTACGTATTCCCTAGATTTAGTTGGTTATGTGGAAAGCTTGTAAAACGGAAATGATACAGTTGCACTGCTATATAGGATTATAAGCTTACAATTATAATAACATCAAACGAGGTGATGTGTACAATATCATAAATGACCCTCCAAATAAAAAGAATCAATTATATATTAACACGTTATGATTGTAAGGTTACAATATCATGTGACATTGCAATTTGTAACTATAACATTTTCGATTGTAAAATATGAGCATTCATTCTCTTCTTGGATACTAAAATCTACAGGTACTAACACAAGACAGTCTCGATTTTGAATGAATACTTTCAAGCAATTTTATTAAACAAAAGAGGAGCTTGTATTGACTACTTCTGTCAGTAAATTTTCTTCTCATGATAGATACTTCCTAAGCTTCTGTGGCTTTCAACGTAAACAATATGAAAAAGTAAATGGTTGCTGGAACAGGAGAAAATACAGGAACGGAAGAGCTATGAATGCTCAGTTTGGTTTTACAGAAAAAATTACGATTTTACCTTCTTTGCTTCATTTTCTGTACCATTCCTTCTATCCACAGGCGATTCTCCTCGCTTGTTAATTAGCTTAGTCAATGAGTCTCGTAATTTCTTTGGTTGAAGATCCATCTTGTTTGCCTTGCAGAACATCAAATTTAAGCATATGTTGGAAAACAAATTTACACAATCAACTATTACTAAGAAACATCATCAACTGCTGGCATCAGGGTTCATGTAAAATTTCATTTTTCCTTCTAAAATAATTCTTCGAAATCAAAATCCATTGCCAGCTTACCTCAACTCTGAGAGTGTTCATCATTTTCCCATCCAGTGCAGTAACATTGGCATCAATCACCTGAAGGCTCAAGTGGTTTAGTGCCTCCATCAGCCTTGTAAATCCACCTCTTTTGTGCTCACAAAACACCCTAATCAGAAACTCTTGTCTGGTTAACTGGTTCACTTCCACATGGACCTAGAGAAAAATTGAACAAAAATAAACACAAGAAAGCAACAACAGAGAGTAACAGCTAACAAGTAATGTGAACTTTCAGTATATAGCTCCTCCTAAGTCCTACCTCCATCATTGCAGTTTTGCCGGGGCCAGAGGAAGATTGGCTGTGCCCTGCAGGAGGGTTGGCGACCTTATTCACCCCATGTAATTTTGTAGACTTCAATTCTAGCTTGCTCTTTTCTCTATTTTCTTCTTCAAGTTCCTTGAGCTCTTGCCTTAGTCTCTTCTCCTCTTCCTTCAACTCCCTTATGTAATCAATTGCATCTCCAAGAATAGCAGCTCTATCCATCTTCGAGCATTCATCAAGGACATAAAGATTATGATATAAACAGGAAGGCACAAAGAGTATTATGTTTGCAATTTTACATGGTAGATATAACTAACCTTGGATATCTTGGGGACAAGAGCACGCAGAGTAAAGAGTCCATCTTTAATCCTGTTCCTCCTGTTCCTCTCTGTGACAAGATTCTTAGAGTAGTAATGCTCTTTATCCCGGCACCGGGAAACTCTAGCATTATCTTTAGCAGGTTTGTTGTCACAATTCAAAACAGAGCCTCCTCCTTGCTTGTAAACATTGTCACTGCAACTGGGTCTTTTAGTGCAATGATTTTTAATTAACTGTTTTGATTTGCTTGGGGAAATATATGCAGAAGCTGAAGCAAGTGTCAAGTCTTCAATTGGAAGATTAGGACCAATGGATGATCCCTCAAAGCTAGGATTTGCACGGAGTTGGGTTATTGGGGAAGGATGTACTATGGGAATGACAGTTGAAGAACGATAAGAAAGTGGCAATTTTTGCAGGTTTTCTTCCAGCGAGGGATCTATACTTTGTTCATTGATGCACACGCTTGTAATTATAGAGCTTTGTTCAGATTCTACAAGAGCATTGCATTGAGTTGTTACTAATTCCAACATTTTCTGATCTTCTGGTATCTGAAACAAATGAATTCCACCTTTAGAAACTGGAGTGTACTGATGGGTTTGAAGGAAATAAATGAGATTAAAGTTAAGACATCTCAATCATGTGCTAATATTTAGTAGCAAGAAGAGCCAAACTGATCCTTACATGTTTTGAAGCAAAAAGCTCAATTAGACCACCCAAAACCGGTATCAGAACTCTGGTGCCCATTGATTCCTATAAAAGAAAACATATGTTATAATCAGGAAACTGGTTAATTGACTCAAGAAAACAATGTGTTTAATAACGTTCTTTGGGCAGATCCAATCAAGAGAAAGAAAGTGAAATACTCACAATTGAAGTCTCTGAATCATCAGAAGCATCTGCACCAGCAAGCCACAGTGGTTGTTTTGATATCACCACATCTCCATGAACCCTGCCTCCACTGTCACACATCAGAATGTTTCTTGATCTTGCTTGTATATCCGAAATCAAAAGGTAGCATACAGAAGCTGAGAAACAGAAAGGTAAAGTACCCAGCATAAAGAGACAAGAATGCAGGAAATTGGGCAAGAGCTTCACAAGCCTTTGTCCTTACAGGATGCTGGAAATGGGCATCCCTGCAGAGGGGACCCAGAATTTTCTCATCCCTTTCCTTTTTGACATTTCCACATCCACTACATAGGCAATCGCTCCATTCAATAAACCTGCAAAAATCCTCACAGGAATCAGCATAAACCCTCACCAAAAGGAAGAAAAGAGGTTTCTTCCATCTGGGTATTGGTTAGAAACTGAAATGAGTCTAAGCTGGTACCTTGAAGGATCATCACCCAATTTCCAAACAACACAATAGTCCCATCCCTTCCTCTCAACAAAGGGTCTGAGCCACTTCTCCATACTTCCCATGTCTCCTTTTTCCCTCATACTGTCTTCAGAAATGTGAACCCAAGTACCTAACAATCTCTCCCAAAGTCCTTCCATGTCTCCCCTATATATAAACATAAAAGCATCTTCCAAAAGGGGTTCCAAAGCAGCAGATTGTTTAGTGGTTTTCCAATTTTACTTTTGAATTTGGGAAGGAGAGAATCATCATAGTCAGTACCAAATCTGTGACAGAGGGATTCTGTTCTATAGCACAGAGAAAGGGAAACAGAGAGAGAAAGAGACACAGGCAGTTTTTCCTACAACAAACAAACATCAGTCCTGAAAACGGCCATCTAATGGTTCAAAAGCACTACTGACAGCTAACCATAACTGCCCACAATCATCAAAGTTTTGTTTGTTTTATTTTTGGCAGAGGAATGTGTAGATGTTACACATCACTCTCCCATTAAACGGGGCTTAATGAATTTTATTACTATATATAAAGTCTTTTTTTCTTTTTTTCTTTTTTTCTTTTTTATGGTTATATGTATATAATAATCTTTTTATTGCTATGTTTCATTGCCATGATATTAATTCTAATTCTAGACAGGAGAAGCAGGCCCATCATTTGCAATTTAGTGAATCCCAAAAATTTATAAACCCAATCCAGCTCCCTATTTCAAAGTATTTGCCACTCACTCGGTGATTCTTATTAATTTTAAAATCTTAATTTATGAATTCAAATTTTATTTATATATTAGAACAATTGATTCAAATTTATAATAAAAAAGTTGTAAAAAAATACACAAATTTAAATTTTTATCATAAAAATATAAGAATATTTTTGTATTAATAACAAAGTTAGTTCAACTGCACATCACTTCAACCTTTAACAATATTATTAGAGAAAAGGTTTAAAAAAAAAAAAAAAACAGGGGGTGGGAAATATGTAGTATGCTTTCATTTGTATTGACTGCATGATTGGCCTTAGGATGGAAAAAAAAGTTAGTAAAGCTAAGTATATGTGCAGGCTTTTAGTATTCTGTACCCTGTACTCTGTACCCTGCACCCTGTTGCCAATGCCCAAATCGGTACAATTCACAGAAGTTGTACAGTGAAAAACAGACCACTTCCTTTTTTCTTGTAACCAAAGAAAACTAGAATTAAGTCCAGTACTAAGTGGCTACTGGTCACCCCTATTAGGGATAGTGTTTGGATATTTAAGTACTGGATTCTAATCCAGGCAATTACCCATTTCTCTCGATTTCTCTGGTATCAAAAAATAAATAAATAAAAGAAAGAAAGAAAGAAAGAAAAGGAATACTGTGGATTAAATCCAAAGGTTAAGTTGGGCCTTCATTCTGGACCAGGTAGCAGAGCGTATAGTTTTTGAAAACTCGGCCCACCGATAAAATGTAACATATTTCGGTATTCCAGGCGGGGGAGAACTAAATTTGCGGTTGCCGAGAAACCTGGAAAGTTATTAACCTCACTCATAGGATTGGACTTGGGCTAGGCTGTGAGGATTTTATAACTTTGAGACAGACAGCGAAGGAGCCCATTTTTTTTTTTTTTTTATAAGAAGAAAGGTTGTTATATTTAGTGCCTTTGGCATATAGGACAAAAATATATTTATTGTATTTTTTATTATTAATTATATATTAATTAATATTAAATAAAAATCAACAATAATTTTAATATTTATGATATATAGATATTTTTTATTAGACAGTTAATAAAATTAATATTAATTTTTAATTTCATCATGTGATTAAATAAAAATCAACAATAATTTTAATATTTATGATATATAGATATTTTTTATTAGACAGTTAATGAAATTAATATTAATTTTTAATTTTATCATGTGTATTAATAATAAGAAATTATAATAAATATATTTTTATCTTGTGTTTTTAAAGTATGTGATCGAAAAGTAAAAAAGAAAACAATTAGATTTTCAAGTTGAAGGATTATTGTTAAGATAATAACTTATTACTTTAAATTGGACATGTAAGGTTCAAAAAGGCTCCAAATCTTAAGCCTTGGCTAAAGGCTTACTTTACACACATGCACATATATATATATATATATATGCCAACAATTTAAGTAGTTTAATGCTAATCTCTCTTCGTTGAAAGTAAGAAATTCTAAATTCAAATTACATGACATGCGGGAAGGATGAAATAAGGAATGAAAAAAGATTGAATCCCATTGTGCAACCAATATAAATATAAATATATATATATATATATATAAACATGTGGCCTGACAAAATCTCGTCACATGGACACCATTCCACAATTGCTTAGCTATAAATACTCAATTACTTGCTACTCTGTATCTTTATAATTAAGGGGGTGTTATAAAGATAATTTTTTTATATTATTTTTTATACAACTTTCATATGTCATTAAATAAGTAGATGCATTTAATATCATAAATCTCAAATGAAGTAAAAGAATCAATCATTTAAATGACACATCAAGTTGTATAAAAAATAAAATAAAAAGATTTTACAAAAATCATTTCCCTATAATTAATCATTGAGAGCTTCTCAATCTAAATTTTCCCGTTATCAAAATATTTATGGTTTATATATTAAAATGTTTACCCAAGATTCCACCTTAGGTCTGTCTTGCAAGATTATGTGGATACAGTCAACAAAACGGATTGAGTATATGCAACAATAATTGTTAATCTGGTTGGACTCGGAGTTTAAGGGCCTGTAACCTGTGTGGCAAAGCAATTAATACAGCATGATTTGACTGAGTTACTTCTACAGTTTTAAGAAATAGCTCTGGCTTTGTGGTAAGTGTTGTGGCATTTTGCGCTTCTTCCCTCACCTATATCTTGGTTATGTAATTGGCAATATTATTTAGAGGCCTAAAATTAATCATAACACATCTGCATTTTAGATTTGCGTGAAGTTCCATTTGACTACATGTTTTGTAAGTTATATTTCGATGTTATACACTATATTATCAAAGTCTCCTATAATTACCATTTTGGAATTTTGACTATAATTTTTGTTATCTTGATTTGATAATTTTTTAGTTTTTGACTATAAATTAAAAATTTTAAATTAATAAAGACTGATTTAACAAAACTGTTTTGTATTCCTCTTATTGCTAAACATAGTCTGCTACTATAGTCGACAACCTAATGGTTTGGGCATGAGAGTTTTCGAGTTGGGGAGTTTTAGATTTACACCTTAGGATTATACAGCTAACAATTCCGGATTTCTACACTTCTTGGAGCCATGTTATAGTACCCATCACACCTTTACTATTTCATATAAAAGCAAGAGCAATACAACATCAGAATATTATTTATAATTACATATTGGAAATCAGAAAATTGAAAAATCTATAGCAGGAAAAGAGAGAAGAAAAAAAAAAAAACAAAACAAAACAAATCAAGACTAGCAATAACCTCCTTGTTTTCTGCCCTTAGAGCACTCCTCCATGATCAACAGGCCTGGTTTCACACCTGAAATCTCCACGTTCAGGCATTCCGGGCCCTCTGAGATCTCCATTGCCTCCTGGTTTGGCAGCTGGTGGCATCCTCGCGTCGAAGCCAAATTCAATATCTCTTTCTTTGCTACGGAACCCATTATGGTTCAATATCTCTTTCTTTGTTACGGAACCCATTATGGTTCTGTCCGCGTGGTTCTGACCATGATGGCTTTGTTTGTGGGGTTTTTGTTTGCTGAAACGCCGGTTGCAGAGTCGCCCAAGAAAGCATGATATGGCGGATATAGCGATTATCACGGCCAACACTATAAACACAGGCCCAAAAGAGCCGTTTGAGTGAGACGAAGGCCGGGGCTGCTGCCCCATCACGGGGTTTGGGTAAACAACCACTGGCTGCTGTGTTTGTGGCTGTTGGATTTGAGGCTGTTGGATTTGAGCTGCCGTCGACATTCTTTTGTTTGGTTTAAACAGAACAGAAATCTCCTGAACTTAGTCTAATTAATGTGAGGCTTTTGAGTACTGAAAACTAATGGGATTTGGTTTGTGTTTTTTAAGTCTCCAGGCCGTTTGTTCTTTGAGTGCAAAGAAAGGGAGACTTTGGACAAGACACATTGAACAAGCAAGAACATTTGCCTGTGGAGTAATGGTAATGTATACGACAACTATAATAGCTATATTTTCAACTGGGAAAAAGGAAGAACTTTCTTTAGCTAAAGATATTCCCTTTGTTCCTCACTGCCAAAGAAGTGGCACTAACACGGTGGAACCTACTTTGTAAGTAGAGAAAGTAGGATTAATTTTTGTTGCCCTTATAGATCAACTTCCCAAGATTAGCCGTGTTTTTTGATTGACCCTTCTCTTTTCCAATCGTTGGCCCTTTGTTTGTTTTCTTATATAGCAGATGTCTTGAGTGTATTAGTTTGTGCATGTATTATATTAAGCTCACATCACTAATTTAATAAAAAATACTTTGGGTTCGTTTGCCATTATTTCACATAATATTTTTTATATAATAATTGATTTAAAAATATTAATTTATAATAATTTATATATTTAAAAAATAAAAAAATAAAAAACCTACCACTACAATAAAAAACTAACGACAAAACCAAAGGAATTACCAAGGAGTTACTTTTGCACGATCTTTCCCAAGGGCAGGCTGAAGATAGGGCCCAAGGTGTCTATGGCAATTTTCTCAAAGTTTCAGCTTTAAGGGACCATGTTCTTTAATAATTGAACTGGTTAATAAAGTTAGAAATAACCTCTTTTCCCAACTAGATTACCCCGAAGATACTTTTCTTAAACAAAGACATTAACTTAGTGCTGATCCCGAGAGATATTTTGTCCAAATTACTAGGGAACTTCACAGCAGTTATACTACTGTTATAGAATCAAGAAAAGCAAGCATTAATGAAATTTGAGTGAGAAACACGTTCCGCACCCTTTCCCCATGTTTATCAGGTTAATGGGGTCACCTCATGCTTGATTGCCGCCTTTATTCGTTTCTTAACTAAGTTGTAAGAACCTTGTCAGAATTGGCTTTAAATTTTATTCTGTTTTCTATTTTTAAATTTTCAATAATTAAATATTATGATCATGGTGCAATTATTTAACAGGTTTGGTTGGTAGGATCACTTGAGGCATTCCAATAATGTTTTGCAGCTTGGAAACTTTTCATTATTTGGTAATAAACTTTCGCTTATGCATTTCTTTTACAAAAATGCTAGCTACACACAAACCATCATTGGTCGTGCTCTTGAGTGTAATTTTATTTTAATTAAAAAAAAAGAAGAAGATAAACAATGGAAAAGTAATGTTATGTGTATTCGGTGTAATTCTTAAGTTTTTATAATTTTAATTTATTTTGTATTTGAGTTCTTATTTATAGCATATCTAAGGAACCATGAAAGTCTAGTTTAGAAACACAAGAAAAATGAAGTGAACTTATACGCATATTTTGTAACAGCGTCATTAGGAAGATTTGACAAATACTCTATAGAGAGTATGGTTTTTCCCTTTCATCCTTGCATCAAGCCTAGAAAATGAAGGCACATTACCTATGTGAATCCGGGGATTTTTGTATCGTGTATGCCTGACCTTGGTTATGGTCATATTGCAGCGTATTTGCTGAAAAGTAATCTTTTGTGATAGCATGTTGAATTAAACATCTATTGATATTGGTTTAGCTTTGCTATTTCCGCAAATCTTGAAGTCTCAAGCAGTTGATATCATGGTTCATCTTCGTCTTAGATAGGAAGTGATAAATAGTTGAAGATGAAGAAGCCACCTCTAGATCTCCTTGGAGCATGGAATGAGGATCAGAGACCTCATAATTGGCCCTGACATCCTTCACCATGCCGTAAGGCTGCATTATAGTAGCAAGCAAAAGTTGATAGTCTTGACTATAACTGAATCAACTAGGAATAGAACCCATGAGTGTTTCTCATCTAAACTCCATTAATGATAAGCCAAAATTGATACTTAGGTGCACACAGTTTCAATGAGCCATTGCCCTTGACTCTTGGAGGTGGAGCATTGTCGGGGGTGTCCATAGATAGGGTGATTTGCAGATACTATGAGATTAGTCAAACCAAAAGTTGGGATACCCATTTCCTCTATAAAAGGAAATCTATACTATAGTGTTCTAACGCAAAAATGGTCGGGCTTGAAGTTGCACGCTTGTAGAAACACCCACATGAATTTTTCATGGTTTTAAGCAAAGCCGAACAAAACCCACAATCAATCATACCAAACGAATTGGGACTTTTCTTTTTGAGTTATCCATTCTATAATAGAATTGAAATAGTAGGAAATGGCAACGTACACAATGAATTCCAAACCAAAATCAAACCTAAACCCCAAAACTCCAAAACTCCAAAACACAACTCCTAAACTGAGAAGAATTGAATTGTTGTATGCCAATCAGTATAAAATATACACATCAATGGAATCCACCAATGTCCAAAATTCCCCGTAAAATCAAGTATCTGTTGCTCAAAAAGCTTCAGAATTATGAAAATTCAGGGTCTCCCCTTACTGCTTCCTGTCTTGCTACTTCTCTCTCCCAGAACAGGTGCAATTTTAAAGTACATTTTCTCTGGTACCAAACAGAACTTATGTTGAAAAATGGTGAGGTACTGATGTAAAGTTTTGATTTTTTTTCATTGCAGAGGCTGCGACAATCGGAATCTGCTACGGTCGTGTAGCAGATAACCTTCCGCCACTGTACACAGTGATCAACATTCTCAAGTCAAATGGAATTACAAAAGTTCGGATATTTAATCCGGAGCCAGCTACATTACAGTCTTTTTCTGGGACCGGAATCAGTTTGATAATCGGCGTTCCGAACGAAATCCTCCCTTCCCTGGCCTCCGGTCCCCCTGAATTCTCCCTCTTGTGGCTCCAATCCAACATTCTCTCTCATATCTCCGCGACCCAAATCCCATATCTCGCCGTCGGTAACGAGGTCTTGCTCAAAGAACCGTACTACACTCCCCACCTGCTGCCCGCCATGCTCAATCTCCACCAAGCCCTTCAAACATTAAACCTAGATGGCACTATCAAGCTATCGTCCCCGCAAGCCGAGTCGGTGCTCTCAATCTCGTATCCCCCGTCTTCTGGAACCTTCGATCCCCTTCTTAAACCCGCTCTAATCCCCCTTTTGCGGTTTTTAATCGATACAAAATCCCCAATTATGATCAATGTGTACCCATATCTCAGCTACATAAACAGCATGAAATACGTATCCTTGGATTATGCATTGTTCAGAAGCGAAAGGGTGGTTCAGGATGGAGCGTTGATGTACGGCAACCTGTTCGACGCCAGCATTGATGCGTTTCTGTATGCGATGGAGAGAGAAGGGTTTGGAGGGGTGTCGGTAGTGGTTTCGGAGACAGGGTGGCCGACGGCGGGTGGGGTGGCGGCGAGTGTGGAGAATGCGTTGGAATACAATGGAAATGTGGTGAGGAAGGTGGTGAGCGGCGCCGGGACGCCGAAGCGGCCGGAGATGGCCGTGGAGGCTTATTTGTTCGATCTTTTTGACGAAAATAGAAAGGGCGGAGAAGAGTATGAGAAGCATTTTGGGATATTTGGGCCTGATGGAGTTAAGGCCTATGACCTTTGGGTTTAGTTGAGTCCATGTGAGAATGTGGGTTGGGCTATCTAATGCATTTGATACGAAAATTCCGAATTTGTCTTTGCAAATTATTATAAGTTTTTTATTTTATAGTTTGAATTATATTAAATTATAAAATGAGAATATTAGATAAAGAAAGTTTTCAACGTTAGTAAATAAAATTATTCATTGTTGTTCAAGAACTTAATTTTAGTAAATGTTGTTTTCTTAGTGACAAACATTCGAGATTAAATAGCTTTAAGAAATTCCAATTCACATGGTAATGCTGTCACATATATTCAGATTTTTTCTAAGAAAAAAGGAAAAGAAATGGGGAATGGAATCATGTTCTCTTGACTTGGTGTCCTTTATCTTTTTCTCTTTATTTTTTTTTAAATGAAATATGTGGATGCTCCTTCCTCAATGACAATGACAAACTACCAAGCAAAAAACAGTAAAAGTTCAAGCATATCATAAATTTCATTTGTAGCCCCTAACATTTTAAGAGCTATGAGTATTTTCCCATATAGCCCACATTTCCTTTCCTCAATTAACCCATACTAGTCCTTGCTTAACAGACAAATTAAGAAGCAGTCAAGACTTTTGATGAGTTTTCTCCAAAGTTAGTGGATCTGTTTTAACACTTTATCATGACCAAGTTAAATTAAGTAGGCCATTGAATATTTATTTACATGCAATGGTAGACAAAATTCAATTAAAAAGGGAATAAATACTATTCACCAATTCATCATCGTTTTTGGTCTATTCCCATCAAGGCATCGATGATTCAATAAAAACATGGTAGTGACTTTAGAATACAAATACAATACAAACAATTAACATTAACTAAAGTGACTTTTATTTTTGTCAAGAGAAATAAGGACAAAATTGAAACACCTTGAAAAAGATACAAAGAATGAAAGGTGATGCATAAAAGATCTTGGACCAAGTCGAAATACCATAGAAAAAGTTGAGGACCAAGAGTAAGAAAACCCAAAACCTACTAGAAAATAAAAATCTAGATATTTAGGCATAAACTATAATGATTGAGAATAAGATGCCATTTTTTAAAATAAATAAAGAAAAAGAAGAGAACTTTTCACAGCAATAGGGATCTATTTTTAGGAAAAATTAAACCATAAATGACTTTTGCTTTCAGTCTTTGAAAATTATAGTGGAACGCATTTCCAGTTGCTTTGGCCTTTTCTTTTCATTTTTATAGTTATTTAATTAGATTTATTTAATTTGTACACTAATTAATTTATTTTATAAATTTATATTAAAATAATAAAAAT